TTTCAAAATAAAGTTTTCTCAACATGGAAAGATCTGGGCTCAGAGGCTGGGAAGATACTGGAAAATAATTTCCAGAATGGTATTTTTCCTCTGAGACAGAGAAAGGCCTACAATTCCTGCACCCTGGAAACATTGATTGTGAACATAGCCTGCTGTCAGAGCTGTGATTGCTACAGAAAAACCCTTCTTGCCATCTTCTTTACCAATTGTAGCAAAATTCATAAGAACTTACATTAAAATCAAATTCTCAACCTTGGCAACTGATATGCTTGCTGGGGAATTCTGGGACTTAATGTCTAATCATCTGTCAAGGTTGAAAAACATTACATTAAGTCAAGGTTGGGATTCTACCAGTTCGGACCAGTTCGGACCAAACCGCGAAGCACACGCTCACCGAACTGGTCCAAACTGGTAGAATCCACCCCGGTTGAATTGCACCACTGCATTAAGTGAACATCATTTAATTTTTTAATTTGTAATACCATAATTTCCTTACCTTCTTTTCTGAAAAGGGCAGGTTTTATACTTTCAGAAGAAACTAGGAAGTGTGAGAATTTCAAAGATCTTTATAAAAAAATGTAGCCTTGGGCCTCTAACAGTTAAGACATTTACAGCTCCAAAAAGCATCATATGGGAGTTAGTATGAACTGGAGTGACTCAAATAGAAGGGAGCACGATCCAAGCTGAAAGAACTGGCAAAAGTTTGTGCCAAGTTAAAACCAGAGCTAGTAGTATTTAGCTTTATTTATGAAATGTATACATTGCCTCATATAATCAAACTCTAGGTCTTTACAAGTAATACTAATACTAGAAAATAATATAGTAGAAAATCTAATGCAATATAACAATATACTAGAACTAATTTCAGTATTAGTGGCTCTCCAAAATGCCTCCAAAAAAAGAAAGATCTTTACCCGTTTCTGGAAGGCCATTGCTAAGGAGGCCATCTTTGGTTTGGGGAAAGGGACTGTTCCATAGGAGTACAACTCTCATAGAGAATGTCTACTGTCAGGCCAACTCCTGTTGAACCATTCTGGCCATTTGAGTCACATTGAAGAATTTAACTGGGAAAGACAATTACTTGGATAGCCAGGTTTTTAAGATAAGGACCTTAAACTGCATTTTAAAAACACACTAGCAACCAGTTCATCTAGCAATTGTGTAGCACAGCAGTATTAACAGGAGCCTGTAAACATACAGTTACTGCATTTTGGACCAGATGAAGTTGTAGATGATAGTCTTAAAGGCAGATCCATGCAGTAATCTAAGCAAGAAAAGTTAAGGGCAAGGTATTGTAGTAATATCCTCCCAGTGCTCATGAGAAACAGATAAAGTGAAGCAAAGCATGTGCCTCTGACCTAGTTTATCTTTCTCATAAACTAGTACTTCAATTAAGTTAGCCAAGTTTAGCTAATTATGTTGAACAACCCTTGAGTACTACAAACTATTTACTAGTAATACAATTAAATTCTGATAGTAAAGCATGTGCTACCGAAAGAATGATAGTAGATGGATGACCTAGACATTCAAGTTCCACTATATCCTCACATTTTTGTCCAATTTGTTTTATTACCCAGATTGTTGGGGGCAATATGCTGACTCTGTAAACTGCTTAGAGGGAGCTGGAAAGCACTGTGAAGAGCTATATAAGTCTAAGTGTTATTGTTATTGCTATTACAGTATTGTTATTATTGGATAGGTCCAGAGACAGAAGCTAAAAATTAGACAGTTAAAAATTACATAAAAATAAAATATAGGCATAATGTACTGCATTCTTGTCAGTCAAAATGTAGCTCCTTTAATACACATTGCAACATACAAGGAATAGGATAAATCTGGTTTTGTGACATGACAGTTCTTTATACGGCAGGAGTAGACAGCAGATTGTTTTTGGCCTGGTGAGTCACATACTTTACAGTTCCATTTACTTTGGGGGCGAAATCTACCAGTGATGTCTCAGGGAAATGACTTATCTGGTTCAATAATTGAAAGATGATTTTTTAGCAGGAAAGCATTTTTTTAAATTGGCAGGAACATTTGTTTCAAATCACCATAATTTCCACATCGATAGTCATCAGATTTTCTACAATGAAGTTATTTAACTTTTTAAAATCAAAATTGCCATACAACTGGATGATGGTAATGATGACAACAACAATCATGATAATGGTTTTTAAGGATCATTTGTGGTGAGATAAGAATCAGGAATTCCATCAGGATGAAAGAGCTTTTTGTAGCTCTGTTAATGAACATTTTAACTTGTGATAAATTTTACTGCTTTAATAAGTACATGAATGATTTCAGATTCATTAATATACGGTATATTAACTAAGTATCTAAAAATGGGTTCATCTTTTTGAAGTTACCAAATCCTGGTGTATTATGAGCCTGGTTCCTTCTTCATTTAGCCTTCAAATTCATTAAATGCATTAATTATTAAAATGTTTTCTTTGATTTTAATGAATAATGACAAAGATGCATTTCTAACATTGTGATTTTAAACTTGGACTTTTTCAGGAGAATCTTAAGCTTAATTATTGTTTATCTCAATTTAAGCAAATTAAAGGATAATATAAATCCTGGGTTTTGATATCTGTAATATTCAATAAACTATCATTATTTGTATTTCTAGTTCTTCATTGTCAGGAGACAGTTTTACTAATATAGAAATGCTTTAAAAATAAAAGTTAAAATGATAGAAATATGTGTGAAAATATACCAAGTTCAATTAAAATATATCATTTCAATTGAACTTGGTTTAAAGTCACTAGTTACAGATTGAAATATCTGTTCCGAAACTTACCACCATTGTTTAGCAATAACGTTAGGTGCTTTACATAAGCATATCTTCTTCCAGAGTTCCTGACTAATAATATATAAAACTCCCTTACATGGTTGATGCTTGTACATCATATTAAATAATTTGTTCAACTTATTAAAATACAGCTCATTGAATTCACAAATCACATTAAGCCGTATATCTGGTTTATCAAGTGCAATGACTGGAATCTCACAAAATCCCAGTCATTGCACTACGGCCTGTTATGACTGGAATCAGACGTGAGAGTAAATGTCTAACATTTGCAAGAGGAACATTTATTTACCCTACATGAGGATGAATTTGGAATCTTCATGTGCTCAAACTGAACTACATCCCCACCCAATCTGGCTGAAAGATAAGGTAAAATAATTCATGCCTAATTCTTTTAACCCCTCTTCTGAAGTACATCAAGCCTGCTAGAATGCTTTATTTCCTACTGTCTCCTTTGCTTGCATGATTAGAAAAACCCTGAGAATTAGATTGCATATTTGAGCAACCAAGATCATCAAGTAGCAGCCTTAGTCTTAAATGTCCTGAATCACACACATTTTATATTTTTCCGACCAGACCTATGATGCTGACAAATTCCTTGGGCCCTTCACAATCTCAAACATTGCCTAATAATAATTAATAGTACTTTTTCCCCCCTGAGCTCAACATATGCTCAAATAATAAAATACTGTGAGCTTAATCCAGCCTCTAGCCAGAGTCATTCTAATTCAAGCTTTTTCATGGCTGGTAAATACCTGATGGACTCCAGAGATTTCTTTTGATGGACTACATTGTCATTTTTTAAACCACCAGAATAAATAAAATATGCACAGGTTTTTTCCTGGCTTTTAAAAAAAGGCCATGCTGGATAATGCCTATGGATTACAATGTAAACTGCCCAATTAAAATGAAAAAGAATCATTAGAGATTATGCCAGATGAGACCCTTGTGCTCATTACAGCTTTGAAAACCATCACCTCCTCAGTTTACTCTTTTAGACTTTGGTGTAAGCACACTTAAACTCTGAGGTTTTTTTTTTAACCCCCTTGTCCTTGGGCTCTTAAAAGATTAGCTCAGATCACAAAACTACCCCATATTTCTCCACTCCTAACTGCACTGGTAAAATAAGTCAGATAAGCAAAGCAGAGATGGAGGCCACTCCCTAATTCCCAGGGGATACATTAGTTGGGGGAGGGGGGGGAATGACACGTGTCTAGTATTTCCTTTCTTTTCCCTGCAAGCAGTTGAAACAATGACTCATCTAAACATTCAAAGACAATGAAAGGTGTTTTCCCACCCATCCAGGTTAGTGAGACCCATGTTGGCTTCCAGAATCAGCAACGACATTATATGATTGGGAAATAGAAATACTGAGATGCCATTAATAATTTCTGGAAAGCATCCTGGTATGAAACAAATGCATGCAAATGGTCTCAGCTAATTAGGAGGAAGTTAGCAAAACCATTAATGTTAATACTGTATTTATAAGACACCAACATTATCAGATTGATTTTCTCAGCTATACTTTTACTGCAGTTTGATGGAAGATTTTCCCACCCCACCCCCACCCCCCGGGTAACTATCTCAATTCAAGGGACACAATATGCCGTGCAAAGGATAACAAGAATGGTAACAGATAAAGGAGGCGTCTACCTCTGTGACTTTTTAGGGAGAAAAGTTGGTATCTTGTGGGCTATAAATTCTAAGGGACAAGCAACTGAGGAGTCTAGCTGAAATCAGTGCAACATCTGCCAATTGCTTATTCACCATTAGTTACCATTTTTATCTGCTAGCAAAACACATTCAGGGAAGCTGATGATACCACAAGCCTCTAAAAATGAGCAAAGGCTAAGGAAACGACAGGATGGGTATTTTAATAAAAAAACCAATTGGCTTCAAGATGAAATATTGCTTAAATCTAAGAAAGAAATAAGCAAGAGGGAGAGCAGATTAAGGTATAAAATTCAATACATTGCAGATCCCTTCAGCAAAGCAATCAGCTATCTGTCATTAATATCTATCTGGCGTTAGATAGCTCTGGTAGGCCTTTGTCTAAGCCTGCCCACCTAAACATTAATATTTAGACATGCAGCATCTTTATTCAAAGCTACTCTAAGTAGGCAAAATTCAGACACTTATTATAAGACAGCATGACACAAATCAAGAACAGTCTCAGGATAAGACTCACCATCTCCACTTCACACCATTCTCCTTTGAAGTTTACAGCACAATCTGTAGGACGCAATACTAGGAGGTGCCTTGTTTGACCTGCTGCATGATGCTGTGACATCAGTTCAGATGATGCAGCTCATTATGGGAAAGGCTGCTGTTGCTATGGCAACTGAGATGTGATAGGAATCCTTACTGCATTTCCAGGGGAGTCCAAGACAATACAGAAGCTTTTTAAAGAGACAGACTAAAAAAATGCAAAGAGGGTTGAGAAAGTGCAGTGTCACTGTCTTAAAAACACACATACAAACATACAAGCATCGTGACTATATGTCTTTATTCGGAGAAAACATCATCTGAGAACTGATCTCTCTGGTCTAGCAAGGATGCACATACATACCTGTACAGAATTATTTCTATATTAAAAAAAACAAAACAATATTCATATATGAATTCAGCTTGGCTATTGCAAATCATCTGATAGCTATCAAATTGTTTCTAAATCACACAAGCTAATTCGGGTATAATTGTTTACAATGTAAAAGACGTTAAAATATGATCTAAAAACTATCCTGCAAATCATGCCCCACCCAGTTTAGGTTGTAAGTACCTGAAACACTTAGAAATCCTATTTGCTCCTAGGCAACGTTTGTCTAGAAACTGCAACTATATTTGCCAGTCGTTTGATCTGAACAACACAAAGACAAATTCTTTTTCTTTTCTTTTTTTAAAAAAAGTGGAGGATTTTTTTAAAAAAATAATTTGTAATTGACAAGAGGAGAACTTTTTAGCCAATCAGGGAGAGGAAAGGGGTGTGTGTGAAATGGCCCATCATGTCTCGGCTGTAAGCTAATCTGCAGTAGCATCTGAATGCTGAGCAGCCAGCTTTTCATCTGCTTAAATGAAAACTCAAGAGGGGCTGTGAGCAAGCTGTGCATCCTCTGGGCCATGGAGCTATCGTCCCAAACAGCCAAGTCAGTCATTGGATTCCTGGGTTGCTTTTTCCCCAATGTAACTGTTCTGAGAAAGGTATGATTACCCTTAGTAATCATACCAAGGGTACCTTAGTATCCAGAGTTTTCTTCCTGGTTCCATAGAAGCATAAAGAAATATGACTGCATTGGGCAACCTTGAAACCCAACAGCTTGAAAATTCACACTTAAACATAGATGACACATTTTTGATCATTGGCCAGCATGACTGAGATTAGAGAGGTTTGGCAAAACTGCTTTTCCTGAGCATGAAAACCTCTTTACAACATAAAAGGTCTGGGTTTTATGGGCATTTTAGGCTTAGGCCCTAAGAGCAGACGAAAGGCCATAAGGGCTTCTAAGCCTAAGATTGCCACAGAATCTCATATGCTAATGCTGGAGCATTGTAAGCCTCTACGACTTGAATTTCTGCATAGAAAATCATTTTTTCTTCCTATTCAGCATTTGGACACTAAAAAGAGAAGTTTTCCCACCAAGAGCCATCAGATTAAGTTCATCCATATACAAACCACAAAATCTCACTGTAACAGCAGGGCTGATTCCACAGAGGGAACATTTGGAAACCTCCAACCTTTTCCCCCTCATTGGGCCTGTATAACTTTACCCCACTTCACTGCCTTGGAGTCTCTCTTTGTAGTTACTGCTGCTATCACTTATCTCGGATAGCGGCTTCATCTGGCACCCTCTCGCCTAAAGCCACAGTATATAAAATATAGGACACCAACAATCTATCTACTTTTCTGGCAAATTAAAGGAATAGAGGGTATAAAATGACATAATTTATATAGAATCATCTTCTGACCGATAAGGAGAGACAGCTGACTAGATTAATCTCACAAGGTATAAACAGAATTGAATTTTTTGGGGAAAAAAATGAAAGGAGAAACTATTAAATTCATTTTAATGATAAATAGCAATGTGCAAAATATGTAATGGTGAAGGAAATAAATGTACAGAGTTGCTGAGATTGAAAACAGACTCTTTAAAGAATTCCCAAAAGGAAAAAAAATGTACCAAAAATAGAAAAGCTCCTGGCAACATTGCTGATTTGCTTCTAGTTAGAAGCAGTTCTGGGGTGTTTTTTTTTTAAAAAAAAAACCTCATCTTGAATAAGCTACATGGAGATAATAAATACAGAAACAAGAAGGTTTAAATAGCTGTATACATTTCAAATAAAAGGCATTCGTGTACAATATTTCTAGCTAAATGTGTTGCCTATATCTCAGATAAAAATGTAGTTGCTTGTTTTCCCTTGATTTTTCCGTGTCTGTAGGTTGCAGCCATAAATTGGAACCTCAGGTGAAAATTGTCATTTCCCACTATTTATCTAGCCTTGATATCCAAATTCTGGCTGCTTTTCAAAAGGACAGAAATATTTTTCTTTTCCAAGAGAAGGAACAGGATTTGGTGGAAGTCTGGTTATTGCATGCTCACAGAAGCCCATGTGAATTCTGCTTGAGACACAGCACTGCGTGTGTGTCCCTTGCATGTAAACAGCTTGTAGTCTGGAGTGCTGTGTAAGGAGGTTGGCTTCAGAATGCTGATTATTCTTTTTTAAAAAAAAAATTCTTTAAATAAAGTTTATTTAAGTTTCATATATTTAAAACATTTAAAAAGAAACAAACAGACATATAAACAAATATATATACATATATACATATATACATTTTGCAGCAGGTATTGAGCATTGGTTACACTTTTCTTTTTTTCTTTTACCCCATAACATTGACGTGATCTACCTTGTTACAATACTTTCCTCGTTCTTTTAATGTTTTAATTTCACAGAATACTTTATGATTAAACGCACGTCCTTCATAGTTTCATAACTTATTCAGTTGTCAGATGTTGCTTTTTCTTTAACCATTCGTACCAACAGTTCCAGACTTTGTAGTATTCACTATCTTTGTTGTTTTTTAGTAATTTGGTTAGGCTATCCATCTCTGCACACTCGTGAATTTTTTTAATGACCATCTCCTCTGAAGGGACAATAGACAGTTTCCAATTTTGAGCATAACTTATTCTGGCTGCCGTTATAATGTACAAGATTAAATACTGATATTTTTTTTCCATTTTTGAGTCCATCATACCCAGCAAAAAGGTTTCAGGTTCAAGTTTTACTTCTTGTTTAGTTATATTTAGAATCCAATTTTTGATATTTTTCCAAAACTTCTGAGCATATGGACATGTCCACTACATATGGAAGTATGTTCCCTGGATGCAGTTACACTTCCAACAGTTTGGGAGGAGGTTCGGGAACGTCTTAGCCAGTCTCGTGGGTGGCAAGTGCCAACGACACACCATTTTATAGAGATTCTCTTTGTACAAGAGTGACATAGTTAGTTTGTAATTTGTTTCCCAAATATGTTCCCACTTGTCTAATTCAATACTGTGGCCCACATTTTTTGCCCAAATTGTCATACACTCCTTGACTGTTTCTTCTTTTAATTTATAATCCAATAGATATTTATATATTTTACTAATCAACTTCCTTTCCTCTCCATGCCAAATTTTATCTAATTCTTGGTAGGTCATGTTAAAATCAAATTATTCTTTCTTTTTTGTAATGCATTTGTATCTGCGCGTAGGGCCACCATGCTATCTTTTTTCCTTGAATTTGTATTTGATTCCTACCCTTTAACTCTCCGGTTTGATGTAATAGATCTTTATATCTTACAATATTATCAAAATCTAAAACGTTTGGATATGTAACTGCCTCCATTGTAGATAACCACAGTGGGACCTTACAGTAATGTACTTTTTTTATCTTTTCCCAAATAGTTAGTAACACACTCCTTATATAATGCCTTTGAAAGTACAAGTGGTGTTTACTCTTTCCATCCCACATAAATGCGTGCCATCCAAATTGGAGATCAAAGCCCTCTAAAGTTAAGATCAAATTAACCCAGTCTTTGAGCCAGGTTGCTATCAAGCATAGTAGTATGGTTCGAAATCTGGAAGACCAAAGCCTCCTTTCTTTCTATCATCCTGTAATAATTTATATTTAATTCTGGGTTTTTTTCCCTGCCATATAAATTTGGATATATGTTTATTTAGTTCTTCAAAAAAGCTTTTTTCCAACTTGACTGGTACCGTCTGAAATAAGAACAACAATTTTGGCAAAATATTCATTTTTACAATTGCAATACGGCTGAATAGATATTTGTAATTTAGCCCAATTATCTAAGTCTTTAAATATTTGAATTGTTAATTTATTGTAATTAGCTGTCAGCCATATCCCCAGATATTTTACTTTATTTACCACCTGTATCACTAATCTCTTCGTTAGTTCTTCCTTTTGTTCATTTGTACAGTTTTTTGTTATCATTTTTGTTTTTTCTTTATTAATTTTTAACCCTGCCACCTTTCCATATTGTTCTGTTTCTTTCATCAAAATAGGTGTCAGGGGATCTTCCACTATAAATGCCATATCGTCAGCAAATGCTTGGAGTTTGTACTCCTCTTTTTTAACTTTTAACCCCCTGATCTCTTGATTTGGTCGGATTTGTACCAGTAGTATCTCTTCTGCTAATATATAAAGTAGGGGAGCCAAGGGGCATCCTTGTCTTGCACCCTTATTTATCCTTATATTATCTATATTTTCCCTATTTATTAATATTTTTGCAGTTTGGGTATTATATATCATTTTAATGAATCCTACAAATAATTCACCAAATTTCATGCCTGTCAGTTGTTTAATAAGAAAATTCCAATTCAAATTGTCAAATGACTTCTGAGCATCTAAAAACATCAGTGCCATTGTTTTAGTTGTGTGTACTTCATAGAATTCTAAAACATCCATAATTATTCTTGTATTTGTCTTCATTTGTCTATATGGCAGAAACCCATTCTGGTCAGTATGAATAATCCTACTTAATATTTTCTTTAATCTTTCTGCCAATATTGTGGCCAAAATCTTGTAATCTACATTTAAAAGTGATATTGGCCTATAATTTTGAATTTTTTGCGGGTCTGATTGCTCTTTGTGAATAAGGGTTATATATGCTTCGGTCCATGACTTTAGTATATTAGCACTATCCAAGGCT